ATTGCACCACATAGGTTGCAGTACACATATTGCACTACGTAGATTGCACCATAGGTTGTACAACATCCATTGCACCACGTATATTACACCACGCAGGTTGCGCCACATACATGGCAACATTCAGGTTGCACCACGTGCATCGCACCACATAGACTGCACCACATAGTGTGCACACTTGTGGGGCACCATATACAGTTTCCTTTCCAAACAAAAGAGGCTAGATTCTACCACCCTCCCCCCGGGGTTACACCCTCCCCCGGGAACCGATGTAAGACACAGGTTTCTGACCCAATGTTCACCGTACCTGTGAATTCATAGTATCCCAGCCAAACCAGCATCGGTTCCCCTAACCATGCTATGCAAACGGTGCTATGCGCGCGCACTCGTTTTTCAAAAATCACAAGTTTCCAGACATCCCTTTCAACATATAGGATAAAGTGCGCACCCGCGCGTCGTCGCGCGCGCATGCCGAAATCCTTCAAACACCATCAGTTTCCGAACGATTTCAAAATTGAGTTTCCAAAAAGCATGCAACGACAACGGCTTTCGCAACACTGATCTCCAAAAACACTTACGCGCGCGCTCTTGCGAAATCTTACTGCAATCAAAGGTTTTTCAACATGTCCAACACGTGCTACCAAATGGGCTTCGCGCGCGCATGCCGAAATCTTTCGAACGCCCTTGCGCGCGTGCCGTCGCGAGAATCCTTTGCAACAGCAATAAGACGAAGTGCACACGCGCGTGTCGTCGCGCGCGCATGCCGAAATCCTTCAAAATCTTAGGTTTCGGAAGGGTTTCAAGCTCGAGTGTCCAAGAAACATACAACAACACAGGGTTTCGCAACACGGATTTTCAACAAAAGCGTGCGCGCGCGCGCTCTTGTGTCGTCGTCGTCGTCGTCGTCGTTGTCGCCGTCCTCCCTCCTCCCTCGTCGTCGTCGTCGTCGTCGTCGTCGTCGCCGTCGTCGTCCTCTGTCTTTCCTCGTCGTCGACATCGTCGTCGTCTTGGCGGCGTCGCCGTTCCCGTTCACATTTTATGGTATGGGCCCCTGAGGCTCTGGAGCCCTTCCCCGAACCAGCTTTTCATTCCACATCGTTTTCCGATATTCCTGGGCACCGCTAATTCAGAACCAGTGCTATCATGACGTCTGATGTCTGATGTCTGGGGTCACCTTCGTCGTCGTCGTCGTTGTCGTTATCGTCGTCGTCGTCGTCGTCGTCGCCGCAGCCGCCGCTGGCGCCGTTGCCGTGGTCGTCTCGTCGTGGTCGTCGTCGTCGCCGTCGTCGTCGTCGTCGTCGTCGTCGCCGTTGTCGTCGTCGGCGGCGTCGTCGTCGCCGTCGTCGTCGTCGTCGTCGTCGTCTTCGTCGTCGTCGTCGTCGTCATCGCCGCCGCCGCCGCCGCCGTAGACGTGGTCGTCGATGTCGTCGTCGTCGCCATTGTCGTCGTAGTCGTCGCTGTAGTGGCTGTTGTCGTCGTCACCGCCGCCGCCATCGTCGCCGCCGCCGCCGTCGTCGTAGTCGTCGTCGTCGTCGTCGTCGTCGTCGTCGTCGTCGCCGCCGCCGCCGCCGCCGCCGCCGTCGTCGTCGTAGTCGTTGTTGTCGTCGTAGTCGTCGTGTATTCCGAGGGCCCCTGGCCAGAGAGGCGACCGAACTCAGGAACGGCGCTCTCGCTCGAGAGTTCCTCGCACTTCAGCCAGTGGCCGACAAAGAAGATATTCCCCCCGCAAGGGGGTGCAATCGAAGACGAAGTGGGTGGGTACCGAGGGTTTGGGTATACAGAAATGCGTGCCAGTAAGAGCGAACAGTCCTGAAATGATTGTCGTCGTTATCGTTGTCGTCGTCGTCGCCGCCACAGCTGTTGTTGCCGACGTCGCCGTCGTCGCCGCCGTCGTCGTCGTCGACGTCGTCGCCGTCGTCGTCGTCATCGTCGTCGTCGTCGTGGTCGTCGCCGTCGTCGTTGTCGTCGTCGTCGTCGTTTTCGTCACAGCCGCCCTCGCCGTCGTCGTCGTCGTCGTCGTCGCCGTCGTCGTCGTCATCGTCGTCGTCGTCGTCGTCGTTAGTGTCATCGTCGTTGTTGTCGTCGCCGCAGCCGCCGCCGCCGCGTCCGCCGCCGCCGCCGCCGCCGCCGCCGCCGCTGCCGTCGTCGTTATCGTCGTCGGCGTCGCCGTCGTCGTCGTCGTCGTCGTCGTTGTCGTCTACGTCACCGCCGCCGTCGTTGTCGTCGTCGTCGCCGCCGCTGCCGCGGCCGCTGCCGCCGCCGCCGCCGTCGTCGTCGTCATTGTCTCTGTCGTCGTCGTCGTCGTCGTCCGTCGTCGGCGTCGCCGTCGTCGTCGTCGTCGTCGTCGTCGTCGTCGTCGTCGTTGTCGTCTACGTCACCGCCGCCGTCGTTGTCGTCGTCGTCGTCGCCGCCGCTGCCGCGGCCGCTGCCGCCGCCGCCGCCGTCGTCGTCGTCATTGTCTCTGTCGCCGTCGTCGTCGTCGTCGTCGTCGTCGTCGTCGTCG